GGCTGCATAAACGATGGGAAAAATTAGACAAATTGATCGTTATCAGGACCCTATTGATTGTTCGGGTTGTTTGTGGGCTTCGAACGTGGCTCTGAAAAAGGAACTAAAGGTGTTGAGTGACAAAAAGTACCGTTGAGCGGGTAGGTTCGTGGCAGCCCTGTAACGCCCCACGATCTGCATGGGGTTGTTTGGATGAAGAGACACTTTTGACGCCTGGACCTGGGATGGAGATGGCGTAACTGTGTGTCGATGAAAAGGACTACTGCCCTCCCCTCGCTCCACCACCAACCTCCTTCCCACAACTTTCCGTAACGCTCACGTCATACGCTCTCTCTCAACGTCGGCACCTCCCTCGGCCCTCCCCTGCACTTGCCCACAGCGTTGCGTTCCCCACCGGTTAACCAGCTGGCATGTCGGTGTCGCCTCAACATCCAGATAAGTTACTCCCTTGTTGTAAGAAGTCCCGTTTGTACCATTAACTACCATAGTATGCATTCCAACTTTCTATCACTTCCCTCTCTACCGTATTGTCTGCCTAACGTTTCTTCTTCCCCTGCGTATGGATGTGTATTGCGACGTGCTAACAGCTCTATTAAGATCGATCTGAATAGAGCCGTTAGCATGTCGCAATACTCATCCATACGCAAGGAAGGAAGATACATATACCTTATGGTATATTAAAAAGAGATGGGGACTGGGAATGCATATAATAGTAATTACTTGTACAAATTTGATGAGTTACAGCAAGGGAGTAACCTGTCTGGATGGTAAGGCGACACTGACATGCCAGCTAAACAACCGGCGGGGAATTCTTGACGTCCTCGACCGCTACAACCCTGCAACGCAGCACACGTTCGACAGAGTTGTTGGAACGAGCCGAGGTCACTCTGACGCGGATCCCGGATAGGTCAGGTGTGGTCGTTTACCAGTGAAGATAGCCAGTGTTCCTCCTCTTCCTACCGATGGTAATTCTTCCCCTACCGTTCATCACTAGTCTCTCTTATCGCCAGCGCACTCCCCGACCCTTACCCGCAGTTGCCGACAGCGCTGCAACCCCCACTGGCGTCTAACTGATATGGCGGGACCAGCTCCCACTCCAAATGGATCATTTATACAGTATCTCGCTACTTTCTTGTATTTGTTATTTTCCACTTTCTTCTGCTCTGTCCATTTGTTATCCTAACATAGACCTTATACAATATAAAACCCCTTTCGTGTTATATCCCTATATGCTTGTCTGATGTGTTGAACGACCCTGTCCAGTATTACGTAACCGGAAAGCTACTCTAGGTGGTCTATTCGACAGTGTGTGCGTGCCAACCTCGACGTCTTCGGCCACTACAACCCTCTCTGCCGCTGGCCCTTTCGCGTTTGCCATGGCCGCTGGCACTCAGCCGCTCGTCTATCTTAAAACTGAGAATTGCCGTGCTTTTATCAGCTTGCTGAAGTCTGTTCATTTCAGAGATGTATGGTCGCATAATTTTACGCGCTTATGCGGATTAGTTAGCCACACTCTTTGTCTCAAAGAATGGTCTAAAGGTAACCGTGGAGGACGCCAAGTGCGTCCAAGGCAGCGCTTTCTTACAAGCAGACCTTTTTGAGGAATTCCAAATTTCTCAGTCAATAATTGCTTTCAAGATAAATCTAAATATTCTTTTGGTGAGGCATTTTGATTCCTAGTCATAATATGCGCTCTTTTAGGACTGTTTATCCGTATTTGGTACATTTAACCAGGCCTCCCTTACATCCGCTATCTTAACGTACAAGCAGCACGGAGATACACTGGACTTACTGTACGCGAGCCCTCGTCTTCTTTATGCACTTATCAGTTTAGAGGATAATGGAGTTGTGGCGGAGTGTAATATAAAGACAATGGACGCCCTTCAGATCCTGGATTTCGACTTCTCAAGCAGCAAAATAACCAGTAAAATCATCATAAAGGTATGATTATGCGTCCACCATTCTGTTACTTAAGTGTGGCATCAAAAATTACTGCCACTTATTCTGCTGCGTGGTCTTTGTGTCTATGTGGTCCGTAACACTAAGTTCTGAACCGTTGGCTGTTAAATAGACCCCATGTTTGATACAGGATGAGATTTATTCATGAACTAGAGCTCGCTTTTAAAGTACAACGACCCATGGACAAATTGATGCGTCTGTATAATCCAAACGTTTCCGTGTTTTTAATTTTACTCACTTGAATTAAATTATGTCTGATTATTTATGTAGGGTTTATTAACTGCCGACAAACACATTGTGTACATACTACATATGCGAATGAGGCTGTCCATAGACGTTTGTTATATCGCCTAACCTTAATAAGACAAGGCAATCCTGCGTGTACGTCGCATCTTGTCAAAAAGCTTGGCGCCGGTGATTGGCTGTTGTAAAGAGTCGGACTCATTGCCATGTCATTGATTATCATAAATGCCACCAACGGTCTTGTTTTCAAACCAGCCTGTCACCCGCCTCTTGCACAGCGTTAGCAAAACGAGGTGGTGGAAATAAATTAAGGAAGGTTGGACGGAAGTCGGGAATTGCCGAGCCGTGGCAGTGTTAGAGGTAGCACACGAGGATCACTGCCTATGTTTGGACACCATCCTTGAGGTCATTGTTTCCGACAGTCCGTACCTCCGGTAGAAGCGAAGAGGCGAGCTCCAGGAAGCACTTCAGACGAAGGAGATGCGATTGTTGGGACATGAATTTTGTTCGCCCGACATTTTGGGTCCTCACTCAAACCCACCGTCAGAGACAGTGGCAGATGGGGGGGTGATTGACTCACGAGGGACGCAGTATTTATAGGATGCAGCTGTCATTCAACCGCATGCAACTCATCATACCTAGCAGCTTCCACATTCATCATCAGGGGGTCGTGTCGCCGTGTGGTAGCTATTATAATAGGTATGTTGTTGCACAGCGGGTGCATCCTATAAACACTGCGGTCCTCGCGTGTCCATCACCCGTATCTGCCACAGTCTCGGATGATGAGTTCGAGCGAGATTCCAAACTTCAGGCGAATAAAATTCTTGTTCCAGTAATCGTCCAGCCTCCTGAGCCCGTAATTCCGTCGCCGGACAAACGTTTTGCCGTGCACATAAACGGTCGTACGCTTGTGGTGTAGGGTGTCTGAGTCATACTCGTTGTGTCACTTGGATAGCAGAGACCATGACAGCTAGTTTGTCATTTCTGTTTGTTATTCTGCCCTAATTCTTTAACAGACAACCAATTCACAAACATTTTACCCAACCCTAGCATATGATGTGGTTCAGAAGATCTCAACAGGTCTCCGATGATCGTTGCGGAGGAATTCCGTCTTTACGACAGTTGTGATTGTGGACTTTTTCCCATAAATACCCAGACCATTATGTAGCGATGGACATTTGAATTTGACAGCATCGCCGCGAAAAAAAATTCTCGAAAGCAAAGACGTTTTGGCGAAGGCTTTATCACTCAGCCAATCTCAAGTCCATCACTTTTTTCTACGGAGCCCAAATGTTATATGCGATTTCATAAAGACTACACAAAATGACTTGCAACGAATGTTAGTATCTTGTCTACGTCTATGCAACTGTTGCTACAATGGTTTAGAAGAAGGAATAAAGTCCAGAGGAGATGGAGCCTCTAACGATTTTCTCCACTGATCAGCGGGCCACATAACCGAGTCGCTCACAGTGATGATTTTTCATCAGTCGACCAACGGAAGCAGCAGTACTGTGTGGCAGCAGCATCTATCAAACGACCCGAGTTAATGCAGGCCAGTAGCGCATGATGAAAACGCTGGAATGGCTCTACGAAAGCCTCATGCACTCGTATTTTTTTCAAAATTACATTGGATCTGGCCACGAGACTACCTGCACCACGAAAACAACGAAGCATGCAATGTGCAAATCGCATGCTACACTTTGTTGCCTCTTAGACCTGTTCCTCTGAAGTTGGGACATCTAGATTTGGCCATCCTTTCTTATGAGGCAATTGAGCGACATTGCTCCTGTTCTGCGACGCGAACTCAGTTGCTACAACCACTGGAACGCGTTGAATCATTCATGAATTGCACCGGGACAACTCTTGCGAATTTCAGTTCGGCAGTTCGTCTTCCTCCAGGCTTTTCACCCTACAGAGACTTCATCTGACAGTTTGAGTTCGGGTATCAGTGGACGGCTTACACTTGCAGCCAGAGAGTAGAGTCATACCGGGACCGCTGCGGCAAAGATCCCACTGGAGACAGCTGGAATGGCGGTCTGAGCAAGTCGGCAAGACATTTGCCAGCACGGCTGGCACCAATTTAGTGAGGGTACTGAGAGACCTTTATTCGTCTCAGCCATTTGTCCAATTAATTTCCCACCAGATGTTTACATCACCATTAACGAGGACATCTAACTTCGTGGCTGTCTTCAGTCGGAGCTACTTTCGTGTGGGTCCTGCAGGGCGCGTTGTCTGACGACGCCGGTGACTTTGCGCTCCGGGGCGACAGTGGTGATAATCGGAAACCTACCCAATGCCACTTTCCTAGTCTTTGGGAGCAGCTGACTATCATGACTGGCTAGACAAAAACGACGCACTTCTTTGATCACCGAAATCTTTGAGCTATTTGATCTTCGGGGTCGTCCTAAAGCGCATTCACAGTGAAAATCCCAAGAGCATGTCATTCAACGTCTTACCGAATTGGGTGACGATTGAGGGTCGCAACTGTGGGGCGACTAGGTGCGGTAAGCGGGAATATTGCCTTGATGACAACTAGTCCATTCCCATCACAAACAAGATGTGGCCCAGTGATAACGAACCCACCGAGAACATGACGTGTGTTTAGATTGCCGTTACTAATACGCCCGTCACAGTCTCCTGCTACGATCTCAAAGGAAATAGATCTCAGCCATTTGTCCAATTAATTTCCCACCAGATGTTTACATCACTATTAACGAGGACATCTAACTTCGTGGCTGTCTTCAGTCGGAGCTACTTTCGTGTGGGTCCTGCAGGGCGCGTTGTCTGACGACACCGGTGATTTTGCACCCCGGGGCGGCAGGGGTGATAATCCGAAACCTACTCAATGCCACTTTCCTAGTCTTTGGGAGCAACTGACCGGCTAGACAAAAACGACGCACTTCTTTGATCACCGAAATCTTTGTGCTATTTGATCTTCGGGGTCGTCCTGAAGCGTATTCGCAGTGAAAATCCCAAGGGCATGTCATTCAACGTATTACTGAATTGGGTGGCGGTTGAGGGTCGAAACTGTGGGCGACTAGGTGCTGGTCTTCCAGCTAGTTAAGTGTGGTGAGCGGGAATATTTCATTAATGACAACTAGTCCATTCCCATCACAAACAAGATGTGGCCCAGTGATAACGAACCCACCGAGAACATGACGTGTGTTTAGATTGCCGTTACTAATACGCCCGTCACAGTCTCCTGCTACCATCTCAAAGGAAATAGATCTCATCGCCTTGGTCGTAGTGCGCATCCACGTTTGACAATGTCGCTGTCGACACCAACTATAATTACGCTGACAATTGCCCCTTCTGGCCGTATGGCCGAGACACATTATCATGGCATGAACACTTTGGTTGCATTTTATGGCAGCTGAATTAAAAGTTGTCAGATGTGAGAGGTACGCGCCCATGGTTAGCATGCATCCAGTCTTTAGAAGACGAAGACGCGATCACTGGAACAAGAAATTTATTGGCCTGACGTTTCGGACCCTCACTCGAATCCAGCATCTGGGACAGTCGCAGATAAGGGTAATGATGGCACAAGGAGTGCGGTATTTATAGCACGTGGCTGCCACGGGACCATATGCGCCCTGTAATTAACAGCTCTCGCAATCACCACTGGGGTCGTAATTGATGCGATAGTGACTTGTCAGCCCGCGTCCGAGTCCTTAATTGCCGCGATTTCGCCATCCGTCTTGGATGCTGGTGTGACGATTTCTCGGCAGATTGGCCCATTCTCTTGTCTACTCACGCCTCTCTTACTGTTTTTTTCCAGTCAGATTGCATGCGAGAGGCCTTTTCGGAGTTGGATGTGACGAGCGAGGTCCTCGAGGTCACCGTCATTCCTCCACCGCTGCCCCAGCCGCGTCTGCGCCTAACCACCTACGGCTACACCGGCACCGTGCACTACGACTTTCCGCGGGACTCGGACCCCGTAGAGGTGTTTGAGTGCTCCACTCCGGACGCCCTGGTGGCCCGCTACCGACTCACTCTCCTGCGTCCCGCCACAAATCGGGCGTTGGCACTCTCCTCGCGTGTCTGTATTCGCATGAATGAGCGTGGCTTCCTGTCTCTGCAGTACATGATCACCTCCCTCCATTCCAATGACTCGCAGGCGTCCTTTGTGGAATTCTTTGTAAGTCATCGACTCTTTGCCGACTAACCTAGACTTGCGATATCGTTCCGCCCGTAGATGTATTGGCCTTCCTTTCGGCATGCCTGATTTGTTTGTAGGCGTTGATATGGGTAATAAACCCTGCGGACACCTGTTTGTTACCTGAAAAATGCGTTCTTCCTACCAACAGAACCCGACTCCTAAAGGGATTATCTGCATATACTCCTCCCAGAATCTGAGGCTTATATGTTTTCCTATAGAGATTACAGTTTTCTCGGTAAACCACTCTTGTAATACTGTCGGATCTGATCGTTTCATTGGAGGCGCAACCCCTGTTGTGACCCATGCCATGGCCTATCGCTTGCGAGGTACAATCAGTGACCGATCTCGTGAAATGTTAACCGGAATTCTGAAATTTGTCTTCGACTAGGGAGGATTACTTGAGTTAGGTCCTACTATTGATCCTCTCGTGACATGATCCCATGACATCTCAAACATGCCAGGACTATGGCTTTTGAATGCACTTCGGCTGCCGTGCAATCTCCACTCAAATTGCGTCCTATCCACCCAGTTGTTAATGCACCTCATGAAGTATAAACCGCAGTCCAAATCATTTGCAAAACTTTATGAGTCCTGTTTTGTAACTTCTTAATGGCATAAAGGAATGAATGGTTTTCCCCACACGGAAAAAGTGCAGCTTATAGACTGAAAACCCTTAACAGATGCAACGACAGGTCAGGCTAAAAACTATTTGTAAGTCGAGAATTTTAAGACCGAAGGACGCCCTTTCCCCGAATATAAGATTCGAAGAAGTAATTTTCTAAAAAATGAGTACAAAAAGAATATTTTTGTTAATGTCTTCCATAAAGTCTATTTGAATTGATTAGGACTCCGAAAACCAACGGGAAAATGCATACTAGTTAAGTAGTCAGCGTTTGCCGTGTGCGATTTTTTCAAGCGACCGAAGAGAAGTGCATTCGAAAGCCAACATTCTGGCGTGTCTGAAATATCATGGGATTATGCTGCACTATAATCATTATTACAACCCCATTTAACTAAATCTCCCTAATCGAAAACGTAGTTCAGAGTTCCGGTTAACAATTCAGGATATCGGTCACTGACTGTAGTTTGGGGACTTTGCTTCAGTTCTAGCCAATTGGTTCCACCTGAAGACGCCCTGGAGGCGGCTGTTGACCGTGTGGGGACAACAAATGGCTTGGCAACAGTTTAGGTGGACGTTCAACGGGGCAGTTCTTTTGTCGAAAGGCTGTTAACCGGTCGGATTACAGGATCCGCTTGTCCTGTTTCCCTTTTGGACTCGACCTAGAGCCCCAGGAACAGAGGAAGGTTGCTGACGACGGCATGGGAGCCTGAAAGGACTATTTCCGGCTTATTAGCCATAATCGGCCGGCCATGCCCAACCCCAGGTTTGAATGACCCGGGATTCGAGCTCGGGTCCTTCGGTCATTGAGTAGAACGCTCAACCACTGGGTCGCGGACCAGTTGTCTTGCCGCTTGCGATCGGAAATGGTAACTTTAGAAGATGAAGATGCGATCACTGGGACAAGAAGTTTATTTGCCTGACGTTTCGGATTCTCACACGAATCCATCATCAGAGACATTCGCAGATAGAGGTCTTTGAAAGGCCTTCATCGATCAGGTTACAGGACCCGAGCGTGTCTTTTCGATCTCATGTAGTCAGATTTGCGGCTGAGCCCTAACAAGTTCATGATTAGCTTTTGGCACCACACATCGCGCTGGAATATAGTACTGTGCTGGCTCAACGCCCTTGGCTCAGTGTATAGTTTAATTTCTAGATCGGCCGGCACTTGAATGCTAAGTTACCAGATGTCTTCTGAGGTGTCGTTGCCGGCTGGTCGTAAATGCCAGATTTCTCAGGATAGCAAAATCCTCAAACGTTTCATTCTTATTACAAGACCCTCTTATTGTGCAATATAGAAGGACTCATCCCGTAGATGCGTCGTATCTCCTAGCCTTGGCCCTCCAGTAGTTTGCAACGACAAGGTCAGTCGCCTGGAAACGTCGACCGTCAGAAGTTCATCTTGGAGGACCTCTTTTTGCACGTCGTTGGTGTCCAACTTGGGGGGGGGGGGGACATACTCCAACAACTGTTACGTTTACAACAGGAATATGCAAAAGTGCAGTCCCCAGCGAACACGGTTTCCAGCGTGTGACTAGAGTTTTGGCCTAATTTCCCGGAACGATTGTAGCGTCGTGTCCACCTCTGTTGTCACTGACAGCGCTGTCGTGGTGCTTAACGTTTCTCTCAGCGCCTGACACTTTAATACTGTTTGAGTCCTAATCTCTAACGGAGACGGAGGCCGGCAGTTCCGATGTGGTACTGCGCCACCGAAGGTATGGGTTAGCTCTGCACTGCCGCTACTACAAAAATTCCCACGTCCCAGCATATGATTCGCAGTTTTGCCTTTTAAGCTTTTCATTTCGTCTTGACTTGATTGACCAATTCAGACTAGTCTTCGTAATTTGAATTTTGAGCTCGATACCTAAATTGGAATTGACATTTGGTTTGCATCCTATCAAGTTCTGTGGATCACCTGCGCCATACTAAAATTGGCAGCGGCCAGCCAGCGGTGTGTACATATACATTGAGATTGATTCGTCATGCTCTCAGCACGGATAATAGCTAAAAACCCAGGCACGCATTTCGCCGACTTTGTGCCGTTGCATGATGCGCCGCCATCTTTTTTTCCTCCGAAAAGGCCATTCTGCGGATTGACAGAGACCTAGATGCGCCGGTTCCCGTGAACACCGTAGTATGAATCGAAAGTCGTGGTGATAAAACTTCCGTGAAATGTTGATTCAAAGACTTCATCAAAGTTGGGTTCCTTGGTCTCCAACTCGACCTTTCGGCTGGATGCCCAGCCTGCAGGCTAATTTATTCATCGACGGCTCATGTTCGTCCCATCACAGTGCTGGCGGCCCATGCTGTAATTAGACCGCGCCATTTTATAGGGCTACCGGTTTGCTATACTCTAATCCCCCACATCCTGTTTGCGCTGTTACCGCTGGTTCGCGGTTCTTTATTCGCCAAGTGTAAGTCTGATTTTCTTTCGCATATTCATATCAACTTGCGGATCGAGCCTGAAAGGTATGTTTCGAAGGATTTAGTGTAGGTTCGCGCATTACTTTCATCGGAAACCAAACAAGGCAGTTACAATGTTCATCACCCGTAGGTATCTCGGGTAGCCAACAGCTACACCACCACATATGCCTTATCTACCCCGTGTTCACCCTGTCATTTCAGAATCAGGCCCAGTAAGGATAGCACTGTGTCCCCACCTAGCCTTTTTTCCCAGGACATTCCTACTTATTTCATTTACGTAGGCATGTTATGTCAGATTACGGTCGCGTTCAACTTTACGAATAGAGTTACGGTCATAATAAAGGCTGGGGTTGGGTTTAAAGTTAGGGTTAGGAATGGGATCGGAACTAGGAGCAAGGTTAAGGCTGGAGTCAAGTTTTCCTTTCACTTATCGTTTTAGCCATTTTGGCCATCATTAATCAATAACCACAGCTTACCTTCTTTTCCGCCCCTTCACGTCCACTAAATTCGCATCTTTCAAATCGCGCGGCATCTTGTTGGATTAATGAGGCAAACATATGACGGGACTGCGAGTTTTCTCCATGCCCTCCATCTGCCCCATCCTTACTAACATCCTTCTCACATAACGGAAATTCTGCTCAATTTTTCGGGTGGCGCCACATACGCTATCGTTGCCTCGAGTCCGAAAAGCCCTGTTTCGAGTTCCGCCATCAATTATCTACGTTATCTACCATTATCTACATTAAGGTTATTCGGGTCCCCAAGAGTTGTCTTTGCCCACCCTTCTGATTCCGGGAGCTTGCTTCTCTTGTCTATCTTTCTAGTGTGTTCCCGACGTGGACGATACAGACGACCATCGGAACACTGATGACATCGTCTCCGGTGACATCTCGCCCTAGCACAGGACGCTGTTCCCCCTGCTCCCCCTGTTCTGCATTTCCAGATTATTTTTGGCAAATTTGATGGCATTTACACCACTCCTGGCCCATTTTTGACTGAATAACTTGTTTACAATCTTTGCACTGTTTTCATTTGATATGCCCTTCCTTAAACCAAGTTAGCCAATGTGATTTTGCCTCCAAGCGTTCATAGTACATTTCGAGACCAGATCAACTTTGTCCATAGCCCCTTAAGGATGGAAGGTTGCCGGCCATTTGACGCGTTCACGGGTGGCGCGGACAGTGGGAAGCCGGTCAGCTGCAAAACAAACCGACTAGCGAGTAAGTCACTGCTGACCGGCAGTGGCAGCGCCACTGGGAGGCGAACACCCCGAGTCTGACACACCGAGTTTACTAGAGGATTTCGCAGTGCACGATAATAACACTACGACATGGTGATCGCAGACCACCATTATATAAGCCCGCATGCCACCACTGCCTTGTGGTTAGGCTCCACCGGAGGGGATAGCTTCGAACAGCCAATCCAGGCTGTTGTTGGTGAATGTGCGGTCTTGGGGAATGTCCGCCCTGCTGGGTTCCGTCAAGGTCTCTGGGGCTGGATGTGAATATTTATCTGAATTTCAAAATAAGGATGAAATACTTGTACTCCACAAATGGGAGTTCCTCCCTACGAGGCGTGTATTGCGGTTTCGCGACGTGTCCACAGCACAGTTACTAGCCACATGCCCGAAACTTGTTTCACCGACGTTTGTGTCGCTGCTTGACGCAATTAGAATGTCCTCGACTCGTCAGTGGGCCCCCGGAGCTTTCCACACGGTCCCTAGCCTATAGGCTCTCCATTCTCTCACTGCTAGCTTTCCTACTTTCAGAAAGAGTTTAATTGTGAGCCTAACGTCCTCTGGGAAAAAATTTTTAGGTCCAACCCGAGAGCTGAGATGAATATTCCAGTCCGGTCTCGACGGATTCAACTTATCGACCCCGTAAACTTCATAGTCAACCAGGGTGCACTCAGCACTGGGTAAATCATCGTTGGGATGCATCGCCGTTCTCTCAGCACAGGTTCTAGTGGAAGCTCTAAATGGCGTTTTGTGGACACCTCGGTAGCTGAATGACACGCCTGGGGACTGGTCAGAAAAGAAGCCAATGTGTTAGTGGGTCCGATATATGGCAGTACCACGTTCTTCCATAACTAGTGGTATGGTTTGAGACTGGCTATCGTCTGAACTTTAAGTGGAGCCTTGGAGTCGGGGCTTTTTGAGCTCCATCTGAAGTCTGCTATAGATATTTGGAGCGGATTTCATGAGCTCCGATGAAATAACCTGTTTGCGTTCATAATCGGAGTTTGTCTCGTTTCCCCGTCATAGCTGCAGAATTTTCAACTCACCCATGTGTCGGAGGCATTCCGAATATATGAAGTAATTCTCCGAGAGGAACCTATTCAGATAAGGTCCAGATTGGATGTTAATACTTTGGATGAATTTCCAAGCTTCGGCCCAATCAGCACACTATATTCACGAGCTGCAGATGGGTTTGTGGTGGTACATTAATTCGGACTCAGACAAGTCTACCATTCCCCTAGCATAGCGCGAGAGACCATATAGGCGTTTCGCGGGTTTTGCTACAAACTCGTGGCGCTTATTCGGCACGCCCGGCTCATCAGTTGCTCGGAAGTCTCCGACACACAAGCCTTCCGATTTCTGGTTGTGAACCCTAGTACAATTGTAAGAAATTAGTGTGGGAGTTTGCAGCAGAGTTCTCGTGACAGGCCTTTCCCGTTGGTAGGAACGGGATACCACCAGATTCCCCCAGGTGATCTTGTTGCATTCGGTAACTGCAAAAAGGTTTTCGCTGATATCGTGACAGACAGTGCGCTCGATTTGCCATCATTTCCAGCACAGGCAAGAGCAGTAGGCGGGGGTGCATATTGCTCCGCTTTCTGTTGCTTGAGCCCCAGTAAGTTCTCAGTCCTGTACTTCATTGCTGAATGGCCTTCGTGGGATAGTACTGTGTCCGTGAGTTGAGGGTCATTGTGTTCGTAAATTTCAGCTGAAACTGATTCCGCTCAGAGAGCTTTTTCATTGGATATCCGGTGGTATCCCGTGGTGAGGCCCGACAGTTTAGGTCAGCGCTTGAGGGTGTGCATGGACGGTTGGTAGTACACACGAACTGCTATAAGACACCAGGATCTGCCACTTTTCCGCCAGCCGGGTTGTTCCGTCTGAACTGATCAGCGGTGCAGCTCCGGTTGGTTGGGGATCGCAGACTGTCTAAGGAGTCGCGGAGGGGTTCTTCATTTCCCCCTGTACTGCGTATTCGTGGATTGCGTCTGCCTTGTTAACCAGTTGACAGAGGTCCTAGTGGACCGACGCTTTGTTCGACGTCTGTCTTCCAGGACTTGAGGGCAGTCCAGTTTGGTAGCCATTTTGTAGAGGCGTTCCCGTCTGCATTTGGCCGGGTCTAGTGCAGCAGTGTTCAGCTTAGTTGATACTGACTTCGTTCTAGGTCGTTCTCACAATTCAAGTTGCCGCCTCCACTTCGAGACTAACAGTCAGACATTCGAAATTCGTCCCGTCCTTGTCCGTCATCTTACCCAGGGAGTCAGACAATCTCCAGATACCAAAAAAGTCGGAGATGGACCGTGGCGTCACCCCCCCCCCCCTCCCCGCCTGATGTATTTTATCTCAGTTACAACAAAAGACAATTTTTCCGATTGCCAAGCGTAATATAACATATAGAAGAGAAATGGAAACAGTTTCATTTTGAGGAATTTGACTCTCATCATCAAACGCAGACATAGTTCACACTATGCAACCATTGTTGGCTTCCGGAAGCGCAGTTGCCACCTGCGGCAGTTTCGGTGAAGGTCTGCCACTAAGCTTACCGACTATGGGCAGTATTATGTTATGTGTGTCCGTGCGAATCTGCAGGGGCACCATCAGACTGAACAAACTGTCCTCGATCCTGTTCAAGTAATTGAGGAAGTCATCGTCTGAAGTTGGTTCTATTGTGATAGTGACCTTCCTTGAAAGGCCTACAAACGGAAACGACCGGAGTAAGGCAGGGCTTTCTGTGATGAAATCATTTTGGAGGTTTTTTTTAGCAAAACGAAACTTAGGATGAATCGAGATTTCGCTACGACGCAGTTATAACAGTTTCTTTATGACCCAGAGGTGGAAACTGGATGCCTTTAACTGGTAATCACGGTAGGACAAAAAACAGGTTCCTGGGTTCTCCTACAAACGAAAAGCAGGATATTCGGCCAGATCTGATCTTGCAGTCGTTCCTGAAATGGCCAAACCCCGACTGTCTGTAATACGGGAACGTTGGTAAATGGGATTTTACAGGTGGGGCAATCGGACGCGTAAATGTGGAAGTGCTGTTAGAGAATGTGTTAATGAAGTGTGCAATCAAACTTTGAATGGACTGAAACTGAAGCGCCAATGATGAAAACACGGTAGGGATCCAACCAGCCAATCGAAAGTGATAACGCATAGTCAACGTCATTCGGCATGGTGTGCAGCGCCACTCGATGAAGATTATGCTGCCGAACTACTGATTTGTTCTGGGTAGGCCAGATTATGCTGAAATAGTACAACTGCACACTGCCGGAAAGAAAATGGGCAGTCTCGTGCTCGGGTTTGGAGGTAAGGTTAGTCTTAGGGTTTGGGCTAGTGTGAGGGTTAGTCACAGGGAAAGGGTAAGGGTTAGGGTCGCCCTCACTCTAACCCAAACCGCAGGCCTGACACTAATCCTAACCCTAACCACTAACCTTAACCCTAACGCCAACCCCAAACTCTAACCCTGAACCCCTAACCCTACCCTAACCCCCAACCCAGACAACTCGAAGGTTAGAAGGGAACGACAAACACCAAATCGACGTAATTACGCCAACTCAAAGCCAATCGGTAGCTCAACAGTATTATGTTCTGTGTGTTTGGCTGAACAATCAGATCTCATCGGATACTGAACAAAACTTTTTCACTCACCTGACATTCTATGCTAATAACTAGGTTCGAGTACTCTTAAATGCTTGCAAAATTTATTTCGTGGATGGATGTTGACTTAAAAGTGAAAGGTTTACTAAAACAAGCTTCGCGGGCTTTAAAATTGATTTTCCGTCCGCTTACATCAGGTCAGACAAGGTGTTAGTAAGCACGTCCTTGTCACGGAAACAATGGCGTCTTTGATGTCGAGACTTCCGATTTGTAAGCACATGAAACATGCCAGCCAACAGGACTCTATTTTGCCAAACTAGTGATTTCTGTGCACAAGTCAATGTCTTAGACAGAATCGCGAAATGGCCGAGCTAGTTCCCATCAATTTAATCCCGCAGCTTGCGAGAAGACGACTTTTCTGCAGTTCATTTTAAACCAGTACGCGATTTAGAAACAAAGAGTTACCATGTCAGCCGCTCGTGAATTACTGCAATATTTGTAGTACCACAGAGCAACACTTTTCGAACAATATGCTTGTTTTCATGATTCAAATATGGTACAAACGGACACCAAATAAATTGAACTGTGACTTCCTTCGTTTAATGCGCAAAAATTTCTGGCGGCAATATAACAACACCTGTTCCGACAATGCAGTTCTTCTTATCTTTTCTCCGTTTTATCTCAGTCATTATGAGAAAATGGAAAACTTGATACCGATAATCGAAATGACATCGTAAGGTACTTTTTAAAGAGGAAACTTCATGGATTAAATATTTTAATTAAGAACATTATGAGCCTTCGTCGCAAAAAAACAATTCTTTTCAGCTGTGACGTACCCATGTTCGATCAGCCTAAAATAGGACCCAGACAGTTACCTACAGATAAATGGTCTCCAAGAATGCACTACATGGGTAAATATCTCCAAGGTAGGCCTGCATTTGATAGTTTCGATCGTCAAAAATACCGAACTCGTATTTTCTGATCATCGACCAAGAACATTAAAAATACGAACGCTCCCATCTACGTTTTAGGGGCGCCTTAAACTTCGAGGCTTCTGCCGTCTTC